GTGAGGCGGCGGGGGCGAGCGTTGCCCTCTTGAGGGCCCTGCCTCGCTACGACCCGTAACGGTGCTTTGCGTGGGATTTTTTTTTGGTTTGTTTGAGCCGGGTGTTTTCTTTCCCCTCGTTTTAGCCCCTTTTTGGGCATCCATGGAAACGACCAAGGGGTTTGGGGGCCTGCTGTTAGCTGAGGGGTTGCCCGTTGGGCCCTCTGGCTTAGTTCAGGGGGATGTAAGGGAAGCGGCCCCTAACCAAGGCCGGCCTGTTCAGATGAAGGCTGGTGCCAAACTTCCGCGTGTGCCTTGGTGCTGTCGGTGTCTGGGTCTGACATCCCTCCAGGAGCCCTTCAGCCCACCATGGAAAGCACCACGCCGAGACCGTTGTTTGCATGGAGTGCAGAGCAGGCAAACGATGAAATTGCAGAGGAACGGCCCCTTCTAGGACTATGTATATGAAAGCTAACCAGAAAATCCTAAAAATGAACGGGACTCTTGTTCACTCTCTGCAGTTTTGGTATTTGTCATAACCAAAACCTAAAGCAAAGGCAGGAAAATGCCAGTGCGAGCATAATGGCCTTAGCAACAGGTAGGCCGTCGGCTGTTGTGACAAGAGGAGAAGGCAGCGCTGACATGGGATTTAGCAGTAGCAGGGTGACATTTTAAAAAGGGAGAGCAGATCTTTTTCTATTTGACAGTGGACTAGTGGATCATGTACTTGCAGCGGTATTTAATGTATAGATAATGTCAGTTACGGGGTTCAGCCCCAAACGGTCAAGAAACTGGGCCTGAATCTGCTTTTCATGAGTGTGGAGAGAATTCTACATTCACCTTTTCTTTCCTAGCACTTTACTCCGTATATCTTAATTACAATAGCCCCTTTCTTGTATTAGATCATTTTTCTTCTGAAACCTGCAGTTCTTCTTCCCTGTCGGGTTACCGTATATATGCTGATCAACTTATTTTCTGAAAGACTACGTTGCCGCTTAATCTCCCTTACTCATAAAGATCCTGGTGGTGCATTTCTCAGGAATAAAGTGTATACAAAGATGTGATAGTGCTTACTGCTCTATGTAAAACCAGGGTAGAAGGAGTGTGGTTGTGAGATGGTCCATGACACTGTCTTTGCTGTAAAGGAAAAAAGCAGCATCTTTTACTGTCACACTGGAAAAGTGTGACACTATTTCTGTCGTGAGCTACTTGTAACAGGTTTCATTTCCCAGATAACAGAATTCTACAGAATAACAGAGAATTCCCCTGAGTAATAGTTTGCTTTCATACTAGTATGCTTACGTCTGTGTTTTTTTACCTAGTTACCGTTCTTGCATATGTGTCTCACACATAGAAATTGGATTTAGTGGGACTGATTACTCACTGCTTCTGTCTAACAGTCCTGAAATTAAGAAAATGGACCAAATTTAACACTGGC